GTAGAGATCTTTAACATCGTTGGTTAAATATTTTTACAGAATTTTTTTTGAGGTTATTGTGAAAAGAGGGTATTTCTATGATCTTTCTCTGACTGCTTGTTATTGGTATATGAAAAGGCTAGTGATTTTTATAAGTTGATTTTGTATCCTGCCACTTTTCTGAAAGTGTTGATTATTTCTAAAATTTAACTTAGGTGGTTTGAATCTAGAAAGCCATACACTTCTTTTAGATTTTCTAATTTAACAGTAGATTATAGGTTTTTAAAAGTAATCCCTTATAATGCTCTGGATTACTTTGGTGTCTGCTGTAAAGTTTCCTTTACCTCTCTGATTTTGTTGATTTGGTTTCATTTGCTCTTGCCTTTCCAGAGTCATGAAAAATCAGAGTCTTTCTGATTTTTAATGAAAGCACTTAGAGCTATAAACTTCCCCCTTAGGTCTGCTTTTAAAGCATCCCAGAGGTTTTGTTGTGTTGTATTACCCTTTTCATTTAGTTCCCAAAATAGTTTTATTTCTTTCTTAATTTTTTCTTTGACCTATTCATCATTTAGAAGTTTAATGTTTAATCTCCATGAGTTCATATAGTTACGAGAGCTTCTTTTCAGGCTGGTTTTAAGTTTTACTGCATTGTGGTCTCGTGAGATGCATGTAATTGTTTCAATTATTTTTGTTTTTGTTGAGGTTTGTTTTGTGCCCCAGTATGTGGTCAATTTTAGAGAAACTTCCATGAGCTGATTAATAAAAAAGCATATTCTTTGGTGCTTGGGTGGAATATTCAGTTAGGTGTCTGTTAGGTCCATTGGATGTATGGAATAACTTAATTCAAATGTCTCTCTGTTAATTCTTTGTCCCATTGACCTAACTATTGGTGACCATGGGGTATTTACATCCCTTACTATTACTGAGTTGGGGTTAACCTGTGCCTTAAAGTCCATAGTACTGTTTTTATGGAATTGGGTGCACCAGAGTTTGGTGCATATATGTTCATGATTGTAATATCTTCTTGGTCAACTCTTCCTTTGATCAGAATGAAGTGACCCTCTTTGCCTCTTCGGATTGATTTTAGTTTGAAGTCTATTTTGTCAGATATTAGAATTGCAGCTGTGCTGAGAGTTAGGCATTATCTCAGAGCACTCTCTGGATCAGATCCCTCCAAACACAGCTTCATTGAGAACACACTGAGATTGTGATTTGGATATTCATTATAAAATAGCAGGTGCATTTCTTCTATAAAATTATTTAACCCTTAGAGTTTATTATGTACTGCCTAATTTAAAATCCTTTATTACTAAAGTGGTTCCATGAGGAAATTAGCCTTCTGGAGGTGTTACTAGTACAGATATTTAGTGATGCTTGCTCTTTCTCTCTCTTCCTCCCTTCCTCTCTCCCTCTCCCCTCCGTCTCTCTGAACCTTCTTCTCTACCCTCCTGGCTCTGTCTGTCTCTCACCCTTCCTCCCTTCCTCAAGAAACAGGTGGAAATCCTAAGCACACCATTTTCCTCCTATCTATACTGCTGTTCAAAGGCAACTGACTTTAGTCACTGTATTACACAGGCCATCCATTCTCCACATCACGTGCACCTGGCATACACAGGAGACATACTTGCTATTACTGCACTAATTGTGATAATTGTGCAAAAGCTCATTTTCTAGATTACTATGAGCAAATACAAAGAGTCATAAAGACATTTTTGGCTCACTTGTATAACAGAGATAATTACTCATTTAAAATAAGGATTACTTTAGAATGAACTTGCAAATTAATTGGAGTTTATTATTTTAAAATGTGATCTGGATGTTTATATTCAGTTACTTATATTTAAGTGTAAAATTGCTCACACATATCGTATATACAACTTAACATAAGTGAATGCAAATTTAGGGATTAAAACATGAGATTATTACAAAGACTATCCTCACTTCAAGTATTCATAAGATCTCAAAAAGAAATTTGAAATTAGCTTTCTTCCTCTAATGATACTCATGCTGACAAAACTTATTGCTTCATCAGACTTTATAGTGCAAGTATGTGAATTTATTTTTAATAAATTATCATTTTTGCATATATCAGTCAAAGCACAAGGCCTAAATACTTACAAACAAAATGCATTATTAATTTAATTGTCACAGCCTATTTAGCTAACTTCTATTACTATTTGCTATAATATGCAATGCATTAGAGAGGAGAATCAAATTCCAAACATGAAAAATAAACTGATTATACTGTCCTGAAGAAATTAAAATGTAGCAAGCTTGCAAAATTATAGCCAAGGCATTAATGTTTCAAATATTTCAAATAGGTGTGAAAAATATTTAACTTAATTTAGAAGTTATTCCCAAACTGAAAATTCAACATACAGTTTCCCAGCTTCTTAATACCATAAAAAGGAAGGAGGAGCCCTTTGGCATTTTGTGCTAGATTATGTATGTAAATCATGGTCTCCTCCAGCTATAGAAGCTTATTGGAAAGCTGTATTGCTGCTGAACTACTAGAATTCCGATTCTACATAATATTATCATTAAAAAAAAGATATCACAAACACATCTGAAACAAAGAATCTTTAATAGGAAGGCAAATTCAAAAACATCCAGTTTAGATAAATGTTGCCACTTAGAATACTTAAAAGTAACAACCCAGATAATCTAATATCCTCTTTTGCTCTCTGGTCACAATGGGTGCAAAAACCACATCATTATCTCTAATGGGAAGAAGTCATGTATTCTTTCTGCCACAGTTTGAATCTGGATTGCCAACCAGTGGGCCATGTGTTTAAAGTTCTGGTCACTACTACTGAGGTGTGTGGTAGGTGACTTAAGAGTCAGGGCCTACTGGGAGGAAATTACCTCTCTTAAAAAGGAGATTAGGCCCCAGGCTCCATTCTGAACCTAAACAGGGCTCCTCCACCATGGGTCACCAGCTGTAGACAATGAGGAAATAAGACCCTAGTTGAAAACATCTAAAAGAAACTTAAGAGCCAAAAATACTTTCTTATTTGAATCCGATTACCTTGGGTACGTTTTCAAAGCTAGCATATCTCTCTAGCTTCATTTTATGTTTGAAAGGAAAAGGAAAAGAAAGTGACTATAAAGCATAGGAAAAAGTAAACAAAAAAAAAACAAGCAGTAAATCCATGACTCAGAAACTCATGGCATATTATATAGGCAGTATCTACTGGTTGAAGATGTTGGCAAGATAAACACATATTTATATATGAAGATGAATTACCCATATTAGAGTCTAGTTTGGATGTGAAAAAAATAGGACTAGTCACTTAGAAGTTATGTTGTATCTTGCTAGTTTCTGCTCTTTAGATCTATAAAATTAGAATAATGATATACTGCTTTTAGACTGAGATGACTCATATGAAAGCAAAATGAAAACGACAATAAAAATCACAAATCAGCCGGGCATGGTGGCGCACGCCCGTAGTCCCAGCACTTGGGAGGCAGAGGCAGGTGGATCTCTGTGAGTTCAAGGCCAGCCTGGTCTACATAGTGAGATATATCACAGTGAAAGATTTATCGTCCTCTTTTTTTTTTTTTTTTAAAAAAAAAAAAAAAAAAAAAAAAAAAAAAAAAAAAAATTCAGGGTTTTTTCATTTGCTTAAGCAAGCATGAAATATAGCTTTGACAAGACTCAAATTATCCTTTGAAAGTACACAATTTTCTAAATTTTCAAGAACAATGTATCTATGACACACCTATTAAGTGGATACATTTTGGGCATAATTATTAAGTTCATCATTACAAAGAAAAGTATAAGAAAATGAAGTTTAGAAACAAAGGAAGCAGACACAATAGTCCAACATTTGAACATAACAGTAGTCTCTAACCACACTACAATGCTAAGGAAACTAACAATTCAGTAGAAGAGCAGAGTTAAATTGCTCATAAACAGACAAAATACAAGGGCATTTTATGTTTTTTAAAGGGCTATTACACTTTTCAGATGTTGCTAAAGAGGCCTCAGACTTCAGAATGGTGTGCGTGGCATCATGATTGACATTCACATGTGTCTGTAGAAATCTGAATATGACCTTGGAGGTTTGGAGAGAAGCTGAAAATCTTTCCTATCATTAAGGAAGTGGAGGGTGGTGCTTCTACAATTTCTGAGTGAGCTGTACATCTGAAAAGCTTGAAAGTTTTCACAAGTAGCCACACTCACCTGGTAGCTGACAATGCTGCATCTCAGTTCAGCTAACATAATTAAATCTACGTGATGAAGCTAATTATGATACACTAGCAAGAAAAAGAAAACCTGGCAGTTGATGACACAATAATTGTAGTGTTATTTTTCATGACATGGCAACTGTAGTATTATTTGGGGGATGACACAGTAGTATTTCTTTTTTACTACCAGCAATGTTTAAGTCTACATTAACAACTTAGAAATGTTATTTCAAAACTTCAAAATAAAAATACAAAAAGGCAATATTTAGTTGCCTTTTTTAATGTTTACTTTAAAAAAGTGTTTTAACATATGTTAAGTAAGACATTTACTGAGATCAATATAATCCTACTGTTCTATAGGTGTGTTCAAGTACCTTTCAAGGATTTAGAGACTGGAGTTTTTTGTTATATTTTATTATTTTTATTTTATGTTATGAGTGTATTGTCTGCATGTATGTGAGTGCACCCATGTCATGCAATGCCTCGGAGGTCCGAAGAGGGCATCGGATTCCCCTGGAATTGAGTTACGGATGGTTCGTAGCCGCCATTTGGGTGTTGGGAATCGAACCCGGCTCTTCTGCAAGAGCAATCAGTGCTCTTACCCACTGAGCCATCTCTCTCCAGCCCAGTCTGGAGTTTTTAAAACTAGCATATGCCATATCATTTTTCTTGGAAAGTGACATAAAATATAGTATTCAAAAAGGATACTTTAAATGCAAGATGAGCTAACAATGCAAATTCTAGCAATCAGTTCATTGAACAAAGCCTAAAACAAAAAAATTAACTGTACTTATTAAATTAAATTAAATGTACAAAGAAATGCTAATTACCTTTCTTTAGGGGTGCCCACTCCGTGCTTCCCTAGTAGATGGGTGTTTAAGTGCTTCTTCATCACAAAAGCAACCCTAAAAAATAAATGAAAGTCATAGAATTATACCTTAACACTCAGCTAGAAATTCATACAGAGAGCATTTAAGGATATTTCTTATATATGTATATACCAGTATAACATGGAAATGCTTATTAGGATGGGACACTTCTTAACAAAGTGCTTGCATATGCCTTGAAGGTACTGTACTACTTGGAAAGCAAAATAAATAACTTCAACAAACTCACAGACTCCCTTTCTGGTTTGGGTAAACTCCCAGGTGCCCTTTCTGGTTTGGCTAAACTGCTAGTGTCCAGGAAATCAAAATAATGGCTGCCATTCTTCAGTCTCTGTCTCTATTCTCAGTTGGAAAGAACGATAGTGAAGCACCATCAGTATGTTGTGCACTGCCCCCTAGCTAATCTCGCACTTTCATCATAAAATAGATTTGAGAAAATGCCATTATATTAAATATTTAAGGATTATAAAAGAGAAAATGAACAGCTTTCATGAAGCTTCCTTAAAAATATGGTAATAATTAGAAGAATGGATTTTTAAAATGTGTTTACTATATCTACAGCACCCATACATACACAAATGTGCTTTAGTGCCACGAAGATATCAGTATAACTAAACAAGCAAAAGTATCACCTGAAACACTATCTTATTTCACACATAGATGAGCCTGCCAGCACATGTATGTGATGGACAGGAGTCCCATGAAGCACACAGAACACCATCCCTCCACACAGCACAGTTGAACTGCTTTGTGTGATTATCTACAACACTTGATATTTCATTCAGAAGCATCAGTCTAAAATGGCTCACCTAATAAGCAAAAAAAAAATTTACTGTTGTAACTTTGAGTGTAAAAGGGCTTGCAAACATTTTTGTTAATTATGTATTACAGCTGTCCTTCATAAAGTTAATTACTAAGAGCTGAAAGGCAACAGAATCTATTTGCATATGTACATGAAAGGCATGACATATGCAAAAATATGATTTTAATTAGCATTCTATGCTATGAAAGGCTACAAATCAAATTGGCATGTTATAAGACTCTTAACATTAAATACTGAATTCATCCAGACATGTTTGCACAAATGGGCAATGTGAAAACTGTAAAATACATAGCCACTCAGAAGATATTCACAACAAAATCCCCAAACAAAAAATTTCTACAATTGCAAATTCTTCATTTTCAGATATGGTCTCTTTGTTGATTTTTATATAATATTAGGAAACCTTAGACTATACTCAAAAAATGATATACCTACATTTTAAATGATTTTTTTTACTTCACTATTCACATAAATTGCATTCACTGAAAACAGCATTCATTCTGTTTTATATAGTAGGCAATAAGAACCTCGGACAATAGATGCTTTACAACCACGAACAACTGGCCATACCATCAATCATCATAATAATCACATTGAAACAATCAAACTGTGATAATATTAAGTGGTGAGAAAACAATAGCACAAGATATTCCATATTTGCTTCTGCTTGATTTGGACAGAATAAATAACATTTTTCATTTCCTGAAAAAATAATACAGCAATGACAACAATCCATTTAAGTCATAACTTTCCTACTGTCCTCCATTTCCCAATAATTAAAAAAACATAAAGCTAATAGCAAAGAGCAAAGGTTAAAAACCCAAAGTTGCAAAGCACAGCTTATTTACATGACCAAGTATAATTTAAGAGATCTGAACTCAGAAACCACAATGTAGTTTTTAATAGAAACATATTTATTAATCAGAATGCCTGAGTTTTAGGAATCCAAGCAAAAATATTCCACTGCAAGGAGAACAAAATCAACAGGGAGAAACGTATTTTACCCAATATACAGTCTAAGTCTGCTGAGGGTTTCCAATGTGAAGGATTCGGAGGACAGATCTGTCACTACTAGGGGGAAATGGAAAATGTATACAGTACTAGAAAATGGGCTTATGTTCAAATGAAAAATATCCATTTACAGTTTGATAGAAATATTCTGTATATGATGTACTTTTTAATATTAGTAGTGGAAAAGCTTTAAAATTATTCTCAATTTTTAAAAGACAAAGGAAGCATCTTTGGTTGACTAAACAGAACAGGACAACTGATATAACAGTGCCAGAGATGTGAGATTATTAAATGTAACCTCTCATCCATCCACTACATCCATACACTACTGACTTAGCACCTTTTAAACACAATTCATAATTTAGATACAACCATTAATGAAAATTGCCTCCATCTGAGAAGCTCCAATTGAAATGCCATGTTCCTAAGAAACATTCATAGTATTGGCCTTCACATTCCATCACAGTAGGTTACCTATCACTTAGTACATGCTTGGTGCTGGTGAGTTTTGCACCAAAATGGAAACCCTAACCACTGATACCATGCCTTTCTGGAGGTTTCGTCCTGTACCCATAGCTGATGAACAAGGTTATGGCACAAAACCTGTTGACATTCCTCATTCATGGACACTGCCAATCACTCATGTATCCTATAATCTACACAATCATCCAGGATCTAAGCAGGTCTGCTACACAGATGAATAAAACTTGGAATTCATTTACCTTGGGAAATATAAGTTCTAAGGAGGGAGAAAGGCAGCAAGGGAAAAAGAAAATGAAAGCATTTTACATAGTGGTAAGTGGAAATAGAATAAAGGAGGAGGTGCTGCAGTGTGGAGGAGTGAAATTCTACGGTAGAGGGGCTCAGGAATGGGAACTTGTGATAGACAGTGAAATACCTGGTTATATAAGTGAATAGGAAACAATAGTTCCAGTAACAGGAAAGCCACCACAGATATCTGGAGGGGGAGCTGGGACCTTCCTAACAATGCTGAGAAGGAAGCCCATGTTTGCAGCACACACACACACACACACACACACACACACACACACACACGACAGATGATGATAGATGATAGGTAGATAGATAGACAGACAGATATAGATAGATAGATAGATAGAGAGACAGAGATAGATAGATAGATAGATAGATAGATGATAGATAGACAGACAGATAGATGACAGATAGATAGATAGACAGATAGATGATAGATAGATAGATGGATGGATAGATAGATAGAGAGCTAGCGATATAGATGATAGATAGATAGATAGATAGATAGATGATTGATAAATTATAAGCGATCGATCAATAGATAGATAGATAGATAGATGATAGATAGATAGAAGATAGATGATAGATAGATAGATGATAGATGATAGATAGATAGATAGATAGATGATTGATTGATAGATAGATAGATAGATAGATAGACAGACAGATAGATAGACAGAGATAGATGATAGATAGATAGATGATAGAGATAGACAGACAGACAGATAGATAGATAGATAGATGAAAAAATTATTCTTTTAAAAATATGATTGGCAAATTGATTTGAAATAGTTTTAGTGTCAAAAGCACAACAGAATGCTAACATTTATATTCTACATTTCAAAAAATACTTATTTTTAGCATTTACTTCAAAATAATTTTCCTATACTATACATCATGAAAGAACTTCCCTTTGGTCCTTTAGATTTTTAACAGCAGTTTAACTGCCATGGATGGTGATTGATCTAATCTATTGATGTAAATGCAGCGTCATAAACACAGAGAGATGCTAGATCCAACAAAAATCAGAGCTGGATGCCAGGCATTGGGGCACATACCTTTAACCCATGCATTAAGAAGGCAGAAGCAGGCAGGTTTCTGTGCATCTGAGGCTAGCCTAGTCTACACGGTGAGTTTCAGCCAGTCAGTGCTGCAGTGAGACCTTAACTCAAAACCAAACCAAACCAAACCAAACCAACACAACACAACACAACACAAAACAAAACAAACAAAAAAACAAAAACAGTGCTGTAACATGCTTGCATCTCATTAACAATAGCATGATGGAGTACCGATGCCAAAGCCAGGACTAAACCCATGTGCTCTTCCTCTCAAAAGCAGATGGACTGCACTGTAACAGGTATCCTCAGAGAGCTGGCTGCCTCCACTTCTATCCCTCCATCTTTTGAATAGCAGGTTCCCTTCACAGAAAGGCCTGTGAATATATCATTTCAAATTCCCTGGAAATTTCTCTGACATAGGCACTAACTAGGCTCAGCCTTCATAGCTTTTAAGTTCAAATGAGAGTAGTCATGGACATCTCTGGAAATTTCTGGTGGAAATGTTACTACAGACCACTCTTGATAAAAGTTATAAAAATTACCTAATCTTAGAAGTTCATACAAATATAATGGCCAGAAACTTTAAAGTCTCTGAAATACACTATTTCAAACCACACTGACACTCATATGATCCTTCACCCCTGCTATCCTACTAACACATCTGCAGTCAATTACCCAGATCCCCTCACAATTTCTCTTCAGTGCTGCACTGTTCTCAAACAGCTAGGCAAAGCACAAGTCTCACTTGGCAAAAAAATAGGGGATCTAACAATCACTTTCTTGGCATTTTTAACCTCTACTGAAGCAAAAAGTCACCAGAAAGAACATAAGCAGTGAGATTAGTTGGCAAAGGCTAATGGACAAATACAAGAAAGTATGCTAAAACTACAAAACCTTCTAGGCCTCTTTCTGGTTAATGTTAACTCATAATACTATATTAACTATAGTAATGTTGGTCCCTCAAATAAGAATAAAAATCTAAGGTTCACATGGCGGTCAGAGATGGCCAACAGAAAGACAAGAGGACATCCTGCTCTGTAATTCAGTACAGGGTAAAGTTGAGAATATTACATGCATTCTCAGTCCCAATGAACACAGGCAAAGAAGACAGGAGTATTTCAGAGCAGTGCCAAGAGAATGGAAGAACATAATGCCACAAGTGCCAACAGTGGGAAAGGATGGTGGCAAGAGCTGGATTCTAAACCCTGACACTGGTACTGCTCTCAACAAAACCTAGTAGATGACTGGGTTACAACTAGGAAGACAGATGGTCAGATGAAGAATTTTAACTTCAAAATACCTGCATCCCTCTTGGCCATAAGTGAAAGTGCACAAAGTCTGAAATGAAA